CAATCATCACACTGAGTTCGCGAGAGTAAATTTTAGTGGTATTTTAAACTAGTCCATTAATTACTTTAATATAAGTTTCAATAAAAGTTTTTTTGAGTAAAATATGTACTTTTTTATTGGAGGAATTTTTCTCACACTCACATTCCTATACTAAAGATTGATTTGTTATTGGATAACTGAAATTTCAACTACACTCATCAACATCAAATACATCAAAATAATTAAATGTATATGTATATAAACAAACATAGTTCATGGTTAGCAAGTTAAACAAAAATTTCATCAAATAAGTTTTTTCAAAAATTTGAACATACGCTGTTAAAAAATTAGTATTCATTGTTCACTTTAGTATTCATTGCCATGTTGCACCAAAAATTATTATTCATTTGCTGCCTACATAAAATGAGGCTCAATTTTACCATATTTTGGTATTTTTACTAGCTCCAAAAATCAGTAGAAGATGGCACCCAAAAGTAGGTGCTTTGAAGAAACGGAACACCAATTTTTATTCTTTCTTTATTTTTTCTTTTGTAAAAGTAGAGGAAGGTTGCACCATTATTAGGTATTTTTAAAGAGCTCAAATGCAGGCCAAGGTATAGCTATTTACCCTAACAAAACTATTTCCGTAGGAAGTTATTTTATGACATACCTCTAACCATTTTATACCGTCAACCAAATTTAAAAAGGCACCATAAAAGAAATGAACTTTAATTCATGTAAATGAGCCTTATTTAACTAAATAAGTAGAAACTTGAAACAACATACATTAGTCTTCCCGATTCACCGAGACCGAATTGAAAAGAAAACATGGCGTCGTAAACAAATATCTTAGTTTACAGTCAACGTCAAAGTCTAGTGTCTTTTACCAAATTTTGGTTTAGTCAGTTGCACCGTGGACATATTTCTCGATCATAGTTCACAATTTATGGTGTAACTAAAATAAAATGGTCTTTCACTTAACTAAACTTTGGAACAATAAGAATATTTGTGCCAAATACTGGTTAAAGATTCACCGAGTTTTTTTACAGTGTATTATTCTGGATCAATTTTTTGTTGTTTTATGTTAGTGCAAGCATATTCGTTTATTCATAACAAAACTGATTTGAGCTTTAATTATGTAAGACAAACTTTTAATACCGAAAATTTATTCTAGATTGTGGTTTATGAAGGAGTCAAATACTGAAATTCGAATGATTTTATTTAAAGAAAATTTACTCGTAAATTAAAATGCGTGTTTAACTAATTGTCTGGTAAAAGTAATCTTGCACAATGCTATTTCAATTCAGTGGAGGAATTCATGGATATGTTACATCTTTTAACTACTTAAAAAATACATGCAATTTGATTTGAAACTTTAGCTTTAGTGTAGTATTCGTGCAATTTAGTGCAGTTTTAAGAATTTCGAAGTATTGTATTCTTCTAACGTTATGTATTAATTTTGAATTTCGGTTTTCTTATCTCGATATTCATAGATGAAAATATTAAAACACGAAGACATTATGTTTTTTAAAAAAGGGTTGTTGCTTTATACAGATACACGTATTCATCTTGGAAATGCATGAAACATTTTAAAAACATTGAAAAAGTTTTTTTTCCTTTCATAAAATTTGCATTTTTGTTACAAGTTTTCAAAAAAGTGTACTAATATAGTTATTTATTTTCAATAATTATCTTATATATATATATATATATATATATCACTCAAATGCAACCCAAGGTATTGCTATTTACCATAACAAAACTATTTACCGTAGGAGGCTATTTTATGACATACCTCTATTTTATTCCTCCAACCAAATTTAAAAAGGTAACATAAAAGAAATGAACATTAATTCATGGAAATAAGCCATTTATATAACTAAATAAGTAGAAACATTGAAACAACATGCATTAGTCGTTGCGATACACCGAGACCGAGTTGTAAAGAAAACATGGTATCGTAAACAAATATCTCTAAATTTACAGTCACCTTCACAGTTTCGTGTATTTTTACCAAATTTTGATGCAGTCAGTTACACCTTGGAAATATTTCTCGATCATACTTCACAATTTACGGTGTAATTGAAATAAAATGATCTTTCATTGAACCAAACTTTGGGAAAATGCGAAACTTTCACCAAATACTGGTTTTAGATTTACCTGATTTGTTTGCAATATCTAAATAAAATAAAATAAATAACTCTTTTCAACTTTGTTAAATTGAAACATTAATTTTATTATGATTTAGAATAAAAATATTAGCTTTTAACATCAAAGTTGCATTAGTAGTATAAAATGAAGTATGGAAAGCTGCCATTGGTAAAATTTGTACAGCATAAATACATTCTAATTTCTTAACCTTAAGATAATCAGTAAGGCCCGGATTTTGATGACATTTGCATTTTATTGCATTTTTTGCATTTTTGGACATTTTTTGTCTTTTGGAGCATTTTTTTAGATTTATAGGGCATTTTGCTTTAAATTTTGGGGCGTGTTTTGCATTTTAATGCATTTTTTTAAGTTTTTTGTTAATTTTTTCCAATCTTTACTATTTTTTAATCAATTTTCATTATTACACTGGCTTCCAAACAATGAAGAAAATCTATGGAATATTAACAGGTGAGGCAAAATCTTTTCAAATTGAAGAAGAATTGTAAGTATGTGAGACCATGCAATTTTTGCATTTTTAAGGGCATTTTCGGCACTTTTAAAGGGCATTTTTTGCACTTTTTAAGGGCATTAGTTGAGATTTTTTAGGTCATCAAAATCCGGGCTCTAATAATCAGTATGGTTTTCTTTCGTGGAGAAAAAATGAAAAATTGTTATTTTATTTATAACAGAGATATTATAAGAATATTTGTACGGTGTAATTAATATTGCACGTTCAAAATTAACTTCTCCTTAATTAAATAACTAAATAAAAATTTTCGGAAAATTCATATCAAGATAGATTTTACAAGTTAAAATATAAATCGAGATCTTCACCTCAGTACGTAATAATTTAGAAATTCACTAGATATTAGCTAACATTTTGTTTAATTAAAAATAAAAATTTTCTTGCGTGTTAGTTTTCCTTGAACATACAATAAACAATATATAAATTCAATATATTCAAAGAAAACCTTTAAAACAATATTTTAATTCAAATAAGTACTTTGAAATAAATAAAAAATTCAATGTCATAAATTAACGTGAAATTTTTTTTTGGAAACTTCTGATTTTGGATATGGCAGATATAAAAGGCCATTTAAATCGCAGAATTCTTCAGGAAATTGCGCTACAAAAGTTTTTTATTTGTAAGACCTATAAAGATCTTTTAAAAATCATAAAAATATGTATAGCCATAGCAAAAAGTATTTAATAAAGTACTTAATAAAGTAAATTTACAATGAGTGTGCATTTGATTCATGCAGTAAAAGCATCATTTGTAATAACTAAGATATTTGAGTACAAATCTTTATTACGTTTAAATCTGAAGCACAGTTATTAGATAATTGCAAATAGTTTTTATCTCGTAAATTTAAAAATGTAGGTAAAAACTAATTTCGTTATGCTTAATTTGATCGATTAATGTGTAATGTAAATTATGTTATATAATTGACAATAGGAAAAAATAAAGCTAATTTTGTCAAAGAATATCACTATTGTTGATTTAAATTAATTATATGCCTGCTTCTCATAAACTGAAAAGTTTTTATCAATTAATTCATTCAATTTTTTATGTATTTTTTATGTTATCCGTTTTCTTTAAAACTATTTCGCCAAAATCTCTCTATTTTATCTTAGTTTTCTATTTATAAAGAAGTTTTTATAAGTATTTCAAAAAAATATTGCATCTCATTAATTTTAGGAAAAAACATTATTGATTTTTGGGAATAAAAAATGTATCTTTTGCATGGATTAAATATATGTTAATGACATGATACTTGCTTAATTCATCCTTGTCATAAGGATTGTAATTTATTTAACTTTTGAAAGTCTTATTAAAAAAAATATTATTTTTGCAGAAATATGCATATTTTTTTTATAACACATGTTTTAGATTTCAGCCGTAAACTAAAAATAAATACAGAATAAAAAGTCATTATATATATATATATAAATATATAAACTCAAGCAGTTATGTTAAATACAGGAATAAATTGTACCTTGAATGTAATGAGTAAACCTATAGATATCTAACGTTTATACCTTTTAATGAATTCATTAACCATTAATTAAATAAGCATTACCCAAATTAATTTAACTTTGGCCAGTGTTTTTAAATTCATTCAAACCTTAAATATCTTCATATTGGAAAAATGGTCTTCTTCCCCTTTCAAAGAAAACGTCAATTATTGCTGCATTGATAATTCGTGACGTGAACTTTTAATTCTTAGGAAATTTATTTCACTTCAAGTTATTTAACAAAATAGATATTAAACTATTCTTTCATTTCAGGTGTGGTTTTTCTTTCTTAAAAGCAAGTTAGATTTTATCTATGATGTAATTGTTGTTACATAATAAAAATAAATCAACTTTTATATTTCAGATTGGATAACATTAACATCACAAAAATCCTGAATAGTTTCTTCGACCAAGGCTATGATAAGCGCGTAAGACCTAATTATGGAGGTAAGTTTATAAAATATATGTAATATTACGTATTATGTTGTAATTAAAATTAACTTTTTTATAAGAGAAGTAGCTTGCATAGACCAACGACATGCTCTATAAATATACAGTAAGACGAATATTTTAAAAGTTTAATTAAAAGCAAAGAATATATATGTAATGAACGTACAAATGTAATCATGTACAAATGTAATATGTACAAATGTAATCAAAATCTTTACAAGATCATTGATTTTATTGCGTATTAAAATTAATAAAAGTATATATTTAACTAAAAATCTATTAGTTATCTAAATTAATATTTTGAATTGCTCAAATCCAATTCAGGTAATTCCGAAGTTAAAATACTTTATTACTGACGAACATCCTCCTCCTATATTCAATTCAATAATTGATATTATGCAATTAATGTTAATTATTTCAATTAAAACATCGAATTAGTATTTTGTATTAAAATTCAATTCGACATTTTATTAATTATAAACTTTGAATTATACAATATAATATATCACTACCTTGCGCAAGTCTAGTTTTTGGGGCAATCAAAAGCAATTTCTGGGCAATTAAAAGTAATCAAAAGTCTTAATTTCAGTATGAATCGCTCCTTAAAATATATCTCTTTACCACATATTTATGCTTCATTTTCGTTTTTTGTTACTAGCAATTTTGTTACAAATAAAGTTTTATATAATTTTGCGAGATGTTCGTAAGTACATGACAAACGTTTTCCTTCCTCGTTTTAAATGTTTTCATTTGTGTTCCTATTATATATTTTTCTTGTCTTTTGTGAATTTTAAGTTTATAAAATTTATTTTAGAAATTAGTTTCTTTCTTTTCTTTTCTTCGGTTCTTACACTATTATATTGATATATTTTGCTATTAATACAATATTAGAAATATATATATATATAATTTCTCAACATATAGTAAGAAATAATATTCGGGTTGCGTGTTACATTGGAAAAATTCAAAACAGTTTCTAGTTTTCAAAATTTGCAAAACAACGAAATTTTAAAGTAATTTCATTGTCCGCTAAATTTATTTTCAAAGCACTTACACGAGACTAGAAATTTTATTTGTTTCATTGGAAAACTCAAAACTTAGGTAAAAAAGTTCACAGAAATCAATACTATAGCAATATTGATATTTTCATCATATATAAAGTCAGGGGAAAAATTGCTTTCCAGAGAATACTTTAGTGAATCTATCAGTTATTTGAATAATTATATGCAATTTTTCTGAATGATCCTGTTATCGTTTACTATTTTGTACTTTAGGGATTGTTTAATGGTATATTATTGTATATTGTTCTGATATATTGTTTTATTGTATAATTTGGACAAAACGTCCACCTTGATAAGCGTAAAATTGAGAATGATTATAAACTGAAGTTTCTATTGATAGAGAAATATTATAATTATTTACAACAAAATAAAATGTTTTATATTTATCAAAATTACTCTGAAATATTGGAGGACATGTTTTTTTTAAATTTATTATAGTTTTGAATGACTTTAACATAAATACTAACCCTAATAATGAATTGATCTTGGTAATAATGTTGTCAGGGTAACAGTGAATAAGTACAAAATGTCCTTTTGTATTTTTTCATGTTTTGTGAACAATTTTTTTTTTTAATAAAATGTATGCTCCTTAATCATGTGAGTAAAATTAAACTAAATTAGTGTTTGCAATAATTTTACAATTAATCTAACACTTATTTAAGATTTTTTGAAAGTTTCAGCTTTAGATTTTATAGGGCAGTTATTCTTTTGTGTTTCTTATTCGGTTGTATCACACAAAACATAAATGTTCCCATGAGTATTTATTTTAAACGTAAAACATTTTAACAAACTGTCCTTTCTAAAGAAGAGAAAAATACTGTGCTTCAATAATTAAATTATATATATAGACGAAAATCGAAATTCTAATCAAATTATATTTTCTGTATTTAAAAGATTGTAGAATTTCAAGTTTATATTGAGTTAGCAAACGTATACTTGTGATGATTTTGAACAGACGCTTGTGATTCAAATTAGAACAATTTATCATTATTGCGATAAAACATCTTTATATAAATACCTTAAGACAAAATTTGTCTTGTAGATGTTTTCTTGTTTCTCTTGTAAAGTTCATATCATAGTAAAAATAATATTTAATGAAATTATGATGTAATTGATAACTCATATCTTGGTTAGTATCATAAATATTTCCTGTATGAATACTCAACAAAATATTATAAACAAAAATGTCTGGAAAAATGAGTAAGTAACGAGATAAAAAAGACGTAAGCACTTCTTGAAAATAATAGAAAACTGTTCTCAATATTAGTAAATAGTTATTTCTAGAAAATTTAGTTTGTGATATATTACTTTCTGAAGTATGGTGAAATTTTGCTATAACTTATAAAACGGTTTGCGTTTACTTAAAAATAAGGAATGATATACAAGTTTTACAAAAAATTGATTTTGCTTCGCGTTCACGAAAAATGCAAAAACAATATTAAACGGTAGACTTTTTTCTGTTATATTTATAGAGTGTTATGCTTGTTGAGTTACACATTATGGTTTTGAATTTTTTTCTCCGTAATTTGTATATTTTCTTTGTTCAGAGAAATACTGTACATAACTTTGCTATTTATTGAATCCACTGTTTAGAACGAAACTGACGAGAAATGACAATATCCTGTTCAATTTTCTCAAATATATTGGTTTGTAAAAGGTGTGTACGTAAAAATGTCAGGAAAATTTTATAATAGAAAAATATTGCTATTTACTCAAACATATACTTAACTTTTTGTTGCCTCTTTATAATTACGAACCAGTAAATTCAAAACTGCTAGCAACTGTATCTTCACACTTTTGTCTAACTTAATTATTATGCATTTATTTTCTGGAAGCAGCTGTTGAAAGCATTTTACTGACAGTATAAGCCTTAAGTTTATAAAAAAATATTTATATAAACATAAAGGATCAAGATTCAACGCGGAAGTTTTATTGTTATGACCTTTATAATTTTTTGAACAGTTTCTTTCAGAGTTTTACTTTTTAGCCTTTTCATTAAAAAAATAGACTTCCATTTAATTAAAAGGAAAATTTCATATGTATAAGTCTTGCAAATGATTTTTTTGAAGTATTACTGCCAATTTCTTTTTTTATTACGACGAAATTTTTGTCATTTAAAAAATATATATGTAGGAAAAAGTATGAAATACGAAGATATGTATTTCAAAATCTTTTAATTTGAAAGCCCCGACTAAAGTAAAACTCTTAGGCTTCTGAAAAAAAAGTAATTAATGCATTTGAAATTTTCACACGTAAAGGAATTTCGTGTACGGAATTTGATAAAGTTTGTTGTATCATTAATTATAAGGCATTTTAAATATATAGTCACGCATGCTACATGGTTTCTGTCTAAAACAGAGATATTCATGCTTGCTTTCATTCAATTTATTAGATTTCATCTAAAATTTCCTTAATTAGAAAATAAGTAACGCGTTATGAAAGGATTATAAGGGAAGTAAAATATTTAGACACTTTTTAGTAATATACACCTAACATAAAACTCTTTTTTGTCAGTATATCTTGCATATTTATAAATAGACTAAAAATAATATAAGTACGGAATTTTTTACCTTTTTTCCATACTCTCGAGAAGCTATATTATCTTATATCCATTAGAAATTTCATTTGAAGCTGTAAAAATTCTGATATTAACTGCTAATATTAATTGCTGAAGGGATTGATTCAAAGTAAAGAATAGCTTTTATCTGCTTAGAAAAACTGCTTTTCTTTATATTGATCAAATAAGGAACACGAATATATTTACATAGAAAATTTTATTAATAATTATTTAAACTAAAATATCACTTGTCAATTTTATTGTTTTATAAAAAGCCTTGTAAGAACACCATATTGAAGTTAATACTGAGTTAGAGAAAATATATTCATCCTTATCTATTTATATTTTTTTCTATATCTATTTATAGAAAAAAAAAGTTCTAACAAAAATAAAAATACAAGATTGCTTACTGAATATTTTTATTGCATTATGAAAAATTTTTATGCATAACAAATTATTGTGATGATCTAAAAACATATTGGGTTTCGTTTCTGCACATATATGAGATTTAGCACATGATATTCAGTTTCCATAAAATAATAGTTAAACATATTTGCATAGTTTTTCTAAACGAAAAAAGGAATTTTTAAATTATAAAATTACTACTATTTCTAAAATAATTCTAAAGGACTGATATCTAGGATATATATACATATCAGGATTTTATACACATAGGATTTTTATAAAAAATTTTAGTGACATTTAGCCACTTTTATATATTTATTGATTTCATTTTTGTTTGTAAATTTCGAGGGAATTTTTTATTTATTTTTAAAATTTTGTGCTAATCTGATAAATAGTAAGCAAGAACGTCAAATATCATACATTTTCTAGTACATCTAATTCTTAGACAATAACTTCGTATTTATAAGATGAAATAAAATGTAAAAAAAGAAAAGATCCCATAGAATTACTGAAAAATTTTTAAAAATAGCTTAAACAAGGATATTTTTTGAAGAGAAAGATTTTTCTACTTTTTATCAATTTTCTCATTTCCTGCAATCTGTTATTTTCTCATTTAAAGATTTCTAGAAACTCACACGCAGGTTATAAAGATTATTATTACTTTTATATATATATTATTCTAAAGTGAAAAATAAAAATCTCATGAAAAGTAAAATGAAATCATATTTTCTAAATTTTAATCTAAATTGATTTTATGTAAGTATGTGGGTTTAATAGTTAATAGATAGAGAAGTATATCATCGAATAGATCTAGACGGGGTAAACAGAATCAGCTGTAGAACCTAAGGAGAAGAATCAGTACTTTGAAAATGTACTTTTTAGAATTCTTATCACATATATAAGGGTGTTTCTTTTTAAACATGACAATTCGGACCAAAAAATTTCTTCAAATTTGAAGTCTTCAAAATAATCAA